TTTTTCGCCCCCGAATCTACGCACATACTAAATTTCACGAAAATCGCTGGAGCCGTTTCCGAGATTCCGATTATATATATATATATATATATATATATACAAGAATTGCTCGTTTAAAGGATAAGATAAGATAATAGAGAATCTGATGACGATATTATATGAACATGGCGTTTAAAAATTGGCCCGCTTTACATTATATGACATTATAAGTGAATGTACAGTGTTATGTGTAAATGTTACAGGTGATAAAGAACGTATGGTGCGGAAAGATTTTTATTATAGCAGTCTATAGAATTGCGATCCAATTACACCAATTGGTGTAGACTGTACTTTGAATTTCAGTGCGCTAGTGTCATATGTACCTCTTACTTGTCTATTATATAATTTTTTTGCCACGAAAACGTTTCTATTGGGACGTTTTCGTGGCTTTACTCCGGGCGCGTTTATAACTTATCTGTAGTATAAAATATCACTGATTAAAATGCTTTGATTGCTCATATTGATAATTCCCTTATTAACTGAACAAGCGTTGATTGATGAAAAGCAAAATTTAATAAAGGAGCCAAAAGAAGTTCTCACTTCATATTTGTACAAAAATATTTAATAATATTTTTTGTGTCTATTATTTACCAAATGGAGCTGAAGAAATAATACTTACTACAGTAATTTGAAATATCTAATTATATATTACCGTCACCCGATTACACTTTTTTTGCTTATGATTTTAGCGCCATCTACTGTTTACGTAGCTAACAGCACCATCCGAGAGGGAAATAATAATAAATTACTAATTTACGAGTAATTCCTTACTTTTTGATTTTATTTAATAACAACGCCATCTTTCGGCGAAGGTGAAAACAACTTAGATACACTGAAGACAGAAGCTAAAAATAAATAATCAAATAGACGACAGATGTAATTTATATCAACGGAAGTAAAATTAATTTATATCACACCAGAAACTGTGGGCGATTTGGAATTTTGAAACACCTTAAAAATTTGCAGAAATTGGAAGCATATTTCTGCATTATGTAGGAACAATACCACATGAATTTTTCCCTTATATCATGGACTGAATGATATTTGCCCACTCTCACCTTTTACAGAAGCCTATTACTTTAATCATTGAAAGTACACATATTTTAATCGGACGGAAAAAGAGAAAAAAAAAGAAAAAACAGAAAAATATTAAATTTCAATCGTTTACTGAATAGAGGCACATTAAATAGCACATTTAGCTCGGCGGTTGACTAATAGCGCGTCTTTCACCAGAGGCTATCATTTCGATCTCTAGTACTGGAAAAATAATATGTGAGGAACATGTGTTTTTCTGTTGTCGAGTATATATAGATATACTGTTAAATTCTCTATGTAGACAAATTTCCCAACTATACTTATATCCATACTAATATTATAATTTCGAAAGTAGCTCTGTCTGTCTGTCTCCCTGTCACGCAAAAACCACTGAACCGATTTAAATAAAATTGGTGGTACACAGATAGTCTAGGGCTTGAGAAAAGGACATAGGATATTTTTTAATTTGAAAAAGGGTTATAAAGGGATCTTAAAGGGGATAGATATTTATTTAAGGGACTCAACGCGAGCGAAGACGCGGGCGAAAGGCTAGTTATTGATAAACTAGTTTATTTTGTTGCGTGTATATATTAAATAATTTAAGTTTGCAATATCTGTTATTATTGAGTTTTATTTCTTATTACGCTGTTGTCACTTCACACTGTGAAACTGGCATCATGCATTTTGTAAAACTTTTTGTATTATTAAAAACGTATCGCAAAATTACGTAATGTGTTTATTTACAAAACGTTTTACCCGATGCACAAACTTTTGTTTGCTTGAGATTAGATAACGTTGTATAAAAGTATGTCGTGATGTATTTATTTAAAGTAAAGTAATGTTATGATTGGAAGACTACAAAACTTTGAAAAATTATTTCTTGATTTTATTTCATAAATATGGAGGTTCCTCGCAACGTTTTCCTTCACCACTGAGCACGTTATAAATAAGCACTTAAATAATTGCAACTAACAGTTTAATTGGTGCTGGCATCGGGATCTCAACTCAGGTTGATCGAGAATATTAAGTTAAAAGCGACCACCCGGACACTGAGCTACCACATTACTCGTAGGTATTTATTATACATTATGTATAAAATCTTGTATCTCTTGTATTAACTGATGTTTTTGCTTTCAGTCCCGAGACTATTAAAGCTTCATCGGACGCAGTACCGGTGGGCTAGCCAGAACCCACGGGTTTTGACCCTCCGCTATGGGTAGGGTCGCGCATGTGCTCATGCGTGCGTTTAACTACTATGGTGTGTCATCTAAGGGCCGTCGAGGTCGCCGGTTCGGACCGAGACCCCGACGGCCGTCGACTGTGCATTTAGCTAATCGGTGGCTGGGAGCGGTGAGAACCGCCCCGGAACGCGGGTGTATCTTGTGTACGCGTTGTGTGGGTCTCGCCGTACTCGGAGGCGAGGGCGAACTGGTGTGATTGTTGTTACACTAACTGTGGGTGTAGTGTTATCCGGCGGGACCCCCGGCGGTGGGGTCCATCGTATCTAAGTCCTCTTCGTCGACCGGGTCGATGAGGACGTTTCGCGGGCGACGCTTGTTTACGTTCGCGTTTGTGTCCGGTTGGTAGTTGGCTGCGCTTACCACCAGAGGGTTGGGATGATGCTGGACTCTATCGAAGAACCGTTTTGTCAAATCTTTAAAATGTGCGCGAATCGTCGGGAGTCTGCAATCGCTGTGCAGGTCGACGTTGCGCTGATACCACTGCGCACCGGTTGCGCGGCGGATAAACTTATTTTGTACTATTTGCAACTTGTACAAGCGCCGAGGCGGTCGGCAGCGCTTTGGAGTCGAGTCGTTAATTGACTGAGGTTGCGGTCTGAGTAAAAGAGCGCCGTGTCATCCGCGAAAAGCGCGAGATTGACGTGGGGGTCTCTAGGTATGTCGCTCGTGTAGAGCGTAAATAGCAAGGGTGAGAGGCAGGAGCCTTGTGGTACGCCGGCTGTGAGGCGGCGGCTTGTGGAGAGGGTGCCCTCGATTCGATATCGAAAAGAGCGGTTCAACAAAAAGGCCCGGATGGTGTGTACAAGCCTATCTGGCACTTTGAGTGTGTACAGCTTGTAAAGCAAGCCGTTGTGCCATCGAAGAAGAGAGCCCCTGTACTAATGTGTTTGGGGTGGTTAAGGCCTTTTAGGATGTGCTCCGTTAGGCGGTATAACGAATTGTTCCGTCGGCAGAAGGCCGTTGGAAAACACGTGCTCTTTGAGCCTGTTTAACAAGAGCCGCTCGTAGAGCTTCCCCAGGCAACTGAGGCTGATGGGACGATAGCTAGAGGGCTGATTGGCTGGTTTATTCGGCTTGCGAATGCCGATAACCGTGGCTTGCTTCCAGTCGTCCGGAAAGGAGCAACTGGAGAGAAGCGTATTGAAAATTGTCGCCAGTAAACAGATAAGCGGCCCAGGGAGAGCTTTGAGAATCTTATTACTTATATTATCTGGGCCCGGGGCGGATTTTGGTTTTAAATTTTTAATAATATCTTGGACCTCTTCGGGGGTCACTGAATTTAAGGGTTCGCCTTCCGGTGGAAGCGCAGCCCTAGTCTCGATTACGCGGTCCACCTCCGTTAGGTGGACTGAATCGGTGTGTTCGCGCGATGGCGTACATTGCTGCTCTAGGTTGTCCGCAGGGCATTCGGCTTTTTCGGAATCATCTAGGGCTACTGAAGCGCTATTAGGTCTAACTAACGGCGGGGATCTGCTTTCAGACTGCGGGCCAACCGCCAGTAGGCGGTGTGCGATGGCTCGATGTCCTCTAGGAGAGTGTCCCACGTTGTGTGTCGGTGTTCCGATACTCGATCTTTGACTTCTAGCTGAAGGCGTCGAAGTAGGGTTCGGTTCGATTCCGATCGGTATCGGTCGAAGGCGCGTTTGGCTGCATTTTTCTGTCTAATTAGCAGTCTTAGGTCGGACGGGAAGTTAAACCGTCGGTCGCCCGACAGTTTTACCGTCCGTTCCGAGTCTGTGACTGCGGAAGCAATAGTTTCGCGGAGACTCGCTATCGCTCGATTTGCGTCATCGAACTTAGCTATCGTCTCGGGTAAGTCTACTAAGTCCTGGGGGTCCAAGGCCTTGAGTTTGACCTCAAGACGATGCCAGTCCACTACGGATTTGGTCGAAGGGACCGCGCCGGCGTTCTGGCCCAGTTTACACAGGACGGGCCTGTGGTCTGAGTCTAGTTCATGGATTGTCTCTATCGACTCGATGTCGAGCGAGACCGACCTGAATAACATTATGTCTAGGACACTCGGTGACGCGTGCTGGTAGTTGTCCACCGTAGGATACCTAGTGGGAGTCGCGGGAGCGACTATACTAAAATTTAGGTTATCGAATAAGCTAAAGAAATGCTTTCCGTTGTTATTTGGGATGCTGTTGGTGTCCCATGAGCCGTGTTTGCAGTTTAGGTCTCCTGCAATTATCACGGAAGGGCCTAAGTTAAGAAGCGTATCTAGGTCGCTTTGAAGTAGGGTTCTACTCCCCGAGAGGTAGGCTGAGACTAGTACAAGCGGCCTGTGGCCGGTGAGCGCTAACCTACACGCGGATGCCTCTATTTGACTTAGCTCTGGAATGTCGAGCGGGCAACAGTGCAAGGACCGTTTATAATAAATTAGTGTGCCTCCCAGACGGTTTGCTAACCGGTCGTGGCGGACAATATTGTAATTTGCGATTCTGGGATTGCGTACACTAGGTTTCAAGAATGTCTCTTGCACTAGGAAAATATCTACGTTATAATCGCGAAGGAATTCCGCGATTTCATCCCTTTGACCCTTTATGCCGTTTGCGTTGAAATACGAAACAACCAGAGCCCGAGGTTTTGTTCTACCTGCGGTTGTACTTCCCATTAAGGTATTTTTATGGGCCTAATTAACGACGCGGCGGAGCGCGGTTTTATTGCGCGGACTATTGTTTTTTACGGTTGGCTCGTAAAAGCCCAAAGGGCTTCCACAAGCGTTTTGTGTTGGCTAATTGCCCTAAGACGCTCGTGGCCAGATGTGGCGGTAGCGGACAATACGGCGAGTTCCTGCCTATTGATTCTATCTAGTAAGCTGCAAATATTAGCGATTTGCGCGAATGGGTCGTCCTTGTTTTCCGCGAAAACTGACGGAGTTGGCTGCACCTGCAAACGCGGCGCCGTTTGAGAGGCGGGCAGCTGTTGTGCGATCGGTCGTGAGGCGACCGGGATTACCGGCGCGGTTACCTGCGCGGCCACCTGGGGTTTCGCCCAGGCGTTTATGACGGGTACGGGCGCGGGAATGAATTTAACGGGCGCGGGTTTGGGCAACGTGGATTTCGCGGGAGATTTCCTCGCGGGAGTTTTCAGGGCCTTAGCGCAGCCTCTGTAGCTAGCCGGGTGGCCGGTGGCGTTACAGTTTACGCAGTCCGGTGGATCTGCGCAATCTGTCGGTCGCGTGCACTCGGTAGTGCCGTGGTCACCGGTGCATTTGACGCACCTTGGGTGAGCGAAGCAGTTATTGGCCGTGTGGCCAAAATGCTGACAGTTGTGGCACTGTGCCACAACACCTGACTTACGCGGGGGCTCGATGACTAAGTCACTGAGCCCACAGACCCTCTTCAGGTTGAAGATGGCCTTACCTTCCGGGGTTGGGTCAAGTTCAACCATAACCATGTCCATAGGGACACGGGTGCGAGGGTGTCTGAGCCGACGTACGGCGTGCACAGGGTATCCCTGCGTGCGGATGTCGACCTTAGCCCTATCGACATCCGACTCTTTCGGGACGCCCTTAATTACAACCCGAAGTTTACGCTCCTCGGGTAGTGAGTAGGTGTGGAAACCTACTTTAGCTTCGCGCAAGTACTTAGTTACGCGGCGGAAATCGTCCGTAGAATCGAGGTATACGCGGATACCCATATGTGTATTCTTGGACCGGGGGTCTCGTATGCTATGGCGTTCGAACCATGAACATATCTGATGGCACTTTGCCTTCTCTTGAATTATAATTGGCGGCGGTGGCTTGATTTTTCGCTCGGAGGCGAATGTCGGTTCCGACTGGGCAGTCGCGGCTGCCTTTTTGGCGGGCGTCGCGGTGGGACGGTTTGACGTCCTCGCTTTCGGGCGGCCTCGCTTTCGAGGTCGCTGTCGGTAGCGGGGCGTTTCTTGCCCTTTTTGCGCGATTTGACGACGGTGAAGCCGTCGGCGTTCACGTTGTTAGCGGGGGTCGTTTCGACCTCCATGTCTGAGCCGCCGTCCAATTGTGAGTCGGGAACGACAGCGCGGAAGGGGGCCGAAATTGATTGCGCGGAAGGCGCGTTAGGTTCGATCGCGGCGGCGGAGGTCGACGCGACGGGCGTTTCGATTGTCGCAGAGGGCGACACAATAGCTGGCGCAGAGGGCACCGGAGATGGCGGCGAGGCGGCAGCCAGTGAAGCCGGACTGTCGCTAGAGAATTCGACGACAAGGCGCCGTTCCCTCGCGAAGCTTAAATATTTTGCCCATACTTCGGGGCATTCCTGCCGAAGGAACTCCTCTAAGAGGGAACCCATGACGACGCTTGTGCCTTTGGGGCTTGCGCCCCGCCGGCGTGTGGTTTCTAAATAGGCCTCCTCACCTTGCGGCAGGGAGGTGTGTGCCTAAAATTAACGTTTAATCGCCTGCGCTTTAGGTGCGCTAGGGTGAGTACCTAGCTGTTGCCTAATGCAACAAGCACACAGATAAAAATTACAATGCCGCCTCTGAGACGAGAAATGTGTGTAGATTCTACTTACGGACAGGAACCTGCCTACGAACACAACACTACACTAACACTATCCGCTCGGAAGTCGGGCAAAGTTTCTTCGTTCTTCTGTAATGTTTTTTCTTTCTTCTATAATTTTTCTTCTATCTTCTTGCTTGAGACTTCCCTAACCGTAGACCGCGAAACACGACAACGATGAGGAGAACAGTGCACACCAAGAAAGATAATAAATATATCAGCTACAACGGTTGCAAGATGGCTTCCGGGTCGGCTGGCATGGGCCCTCCGGCTCAGAGTAACGTCCGTTCCGTGTGGAAGCACGAAGCGGAATGTTATGTATAAAAGAGCCGTGATAGCTCAATTTCCGGGCGCTCGCCTTTAATTCAATATACTCGAGCAACCTGAGTTCGATCCCCCGTGCCAGCACCAATGAAGTTTTTAACTTTAAGTGCTGACTTATCACGTGCTCCGCGGTGAAGGAAAACATCGTGAGGACACCTGCATATTTTCGAAATAATAACAAAAAAAAATATATTTCAAAATATGTGAAGTCCGCCAATCCGCAGTGGGGCCGCGTGGTGGACTATGCCCTGATACCCTCTGTATAGAGGAGTCCTTTGCCCAGCAGTGGGACATGTATAGGCTGCTACTTTACTTTACTTTATGTTTTAAAACTGGATAGGATATCTGTTGATGTTAACTTGACTGCTTGTTATATAAAGACTTCTGCTTGCAATAAGAAGACGACACAAGCAGTGGTTCATATTCGACTCCGTGCCTTTCGCACTCGCAGTGTGCCCGCCCGTTCAAAGCGAAAAAGTGGCGACCAGTACTTGAGGTAGGGCAATAATAGCACCGAAATACGGGAGCTAGATACTTGGCGGTCGTGCGTACACCGAGATAGCCGCCAGTCGTATATGGCGGGAATAATGAGCATCGAAACCTTGTGTGGAATATATTCTGGGAACAGCGAAACGGATGGAGCGGATTCTTTTGGAAGTATTGTGTAAGTTATTCGTCGAATGCTAAGCTTTTTCAAGTTACACCTCTTTTGGCAAGTTTGGAAAAAATCATGAGAGTAAAATTTATAGGATTCCCGCACACACCGACCTCCAAAAAACGACATGATTAAGACTTTGCGACCAACTACATCATGCTTGGTTGTCATGGTAATAAAAAGCGACAAACTTCATGGCAAAAAAGTAAGCACTTTTTAACATTTACCTACAATTACAAGTTTTAAAAGTTTAGTTTTAAGCTGGTTCTTTTCTCGCTCAAAGTTTAAGTAGTTAAATCTATTTAAAATTACATATTAAAATAATTATATATTATGTTTAATGTCTTTTCATTTGTAAATAAATTCATTTACTCGTAAGGTTTGCTAGGGGTTTCTGTAGTATGTATTCTATCTATCCATTGTAACGATCCAACCTGCGTATTTTTTCTTTCTACCAACAGAGTTATATCACCTGTTAAAAAAGAGTGCTTCTTATTAATTTCTTCGGAATTAAATCAATAATTTATTACTTTTAAATTTTAGCATTAATAATGTTACTGTACATATTTCACGAATCCTTGTAGGTAAACATGTTTCATGCAAATAAAAAAACTTGTGTTGTCAGTGTCTTATTTTACCATTAAAATAACCAGTAGTATAAAATTGTTATGAGCAGTTATTGATATCTTTTAATAATAGGGTTTTGGCTGAATATTAAGGAAATATAGAAAACTACACTGCTTTCTTGATCACATCATGTTATGTTTGACTTCCTAGCATAATACGACTACAAAACATTAATCAATATAGCAGCTTAATGTATCAAGTTAATTTATAAGCCATAACGACATTGCTGCCTACAAAACATTTTATGACGATTATGTGACTTCGTTTCTGTAAAAAGTAATGAATACAGAACCTTGAGAGCAAATGTAATAATTAATAGAGATCACAATAAGATGTGTAGATTAGTTGTCCCGTATAATGTCTGTTTCTATCATACATGTAGGTTCGATTCCCGCACGGGACAAGTTTGTGAGACATAAAAATATTAATAATTTCACAATCTCTCCATCCACTTGATATGTAAAACGTCAAACAACCCAGGATAATGTTATCGTATATTAAAGGTTTAATTAAAAAATAAAATGAAGACATGAAATTTTGGATATTTTTTTAGTTTTAGTTCTAATTTGCACACAACCCCGCAATAAAAAAATGCCAATTTATCTATTAAATTCACAACTAAGAGATATTTTCTATTTGAAAACTTGGCAAGTGGTGATTCACCTGACGTTAAATGATTACTGCCCCACATGAACATCTACAACCGCTGAAGGATTACTTATTAGATGCGTTGACAACTTCATAGCAGTTTCATTTCACACCAGTCTTCTGTGAAACCGCGGTACTTCACCGGACGAGCCTGCCAACGGCAGACGTTGCACAAATGGCAGGATGCCTATTGGCCCCAGCTGGCCGCTGCGTGGGCCTACCACTACATTTAAAGGCATCAAATGTTGACGATATCAACCACTGAGCTTAGTTGTTAAAGTGTCCGTCCACATATCACGGAATTATCCAATTCTGACAGCGGCGGAAAATTTTTTGACCATTAATTTACACGTTTTAAACATAAAGACAATTTACTGAATAAAATGTTATATTATTTGTATATTTAGCTTTGATTCCAGCAAATACGTTAGTTCAAAAACGAATGTATTGCATAAGGAACCTCTATCCAATTCAACAACTATATAGCCGTACTGTAATTGTCATAAAATTTTCTGTACTACATTTATTTATATATAACTGTGGTAGGGTCACGCAACAGTATTCTCTGTTGCACGAATGGGCAGGTCCGTCGGGTAAGTACCACAACCCCACAGAAGACCGGCGTGAATTGGAAGTTTTATACTTCTGCGCTTTGTCTCGCGAGTGAGGTAGCTGCGACCCACTTTTTTAAAAGGTGTCAACGCATCTGCAACGCTACGGGTGTTGCGAATGTCAATGGGCGGCAGGTATTACTTAACTTCTGGTAAACTGCCAGCTCGTTTGCCACCTACTCACATGAGAAAAATAATAATAATTACAATTGAGAAAACCATCAAAAATATAAATATCATATCATCAATCACGGACACACAGATCATCACAAACGAATGCAGTACACTGAATTAGAAACCGAGGCGTTAGATCACAACTGGACACAGTCTATAAATCTTTATAACACTTACAACTTCACTCGTTCGCTGTTCGGCGAACTAGGGCTGGTTCGTTCACCCCTAACACCGAAATAACCTTAACTGTTAAACGTTCGTCCTTCTATGACTAATCTGGACATCGCACGCGGAAGTCTAGCTGTCCCAGCCTTCTTACTCCGCCCTTATACAATGTAGCGTCGGGGAATAGCCGTAATTATAGCATTACATTTTATTTCTGCTTTACACCTTATAATCGTTATTCGTAAAACAGTATTTAAGAAGGAAAACAAAACCGAATTCAAATATCTCGCTCTGTATTCATTTTATAATTGATTTTCAGGAGTTCCCTAAGCATCTCCGGAGCCTAAGATCCAATACCAATGAAATTAATATGGGACCACATGGGAAGCACCAGCTCACAAATAAAAAAGAATCATTGAAATCCGTTCACACATTCAAAAGTTCTGAGGAAACAAACAACAAGTCGAATTGCGAACCTTCTCCTTTTGAAATCGGTTAAAAAACAGTCCCGATCCAACATGGCTCAAAATTTTTTTTGTTTTTTTTTTTTTTTTTTTTTTTTGAAATCGTTTTGGAAACATCGCCAGCAGTCGAAACTAATTAAGCCTTTTCTTATGACACACACTTTGAAATAACAAGATGTATATTAAACAAGAACGTGTAACAGCAGTTGGTCAGTTACCAACTTCCACAGTAATCTCATCACAAATTGACCGCTCCTATATTTCCTTATTGCCTAGTCAACGATGCCGGAGCAACGGTACGTTTTGTGGTTGGATTCGATTGCGAGTTGCGATGCGTAGTCGCAATTATTGACTTGAATCTTCGCGGCCCGTTCGTATGCACTACCGGCTGTTCACGCGGTTTCTCTGTCTTAGTTCAGCCAACTACGCACTCAACTAGCTGAGCTAAACGTGGCTGGGTTCCGTAATAAAGAATGTAATTTAATGTAATAAATAAAGAATTATGCAAATAGCACAAGTCTCTTCTTGTGTTTGACAGTCTAAGAACTTTTGTATGTATATACTACGAATATATATTTAAAAATAATGCAGTTTTTTTAAATGTTATTTCTAACTTGACCTTAAATTGCGGGGCTACAGTCGCTTAAACATTACGCTGGCCTATATATTGCCCTCTGTTGTGCTACTCCATATAACATTACATAATAGTTCGCTATGCAAATCGGGTGACGGAATTCGCCAGCCTCCTTATTATATCAAATGTTATTGCATGTTTTATTTCTAGCTACTGTGAAGTGTAGCTTATTTTTCAAGAGGCCCAACAGCAGGGTTAAAGTTACTCTTTTATTATGTATTAGAATTATAGGATGGTGAAATAGAATCCTAGTTACTGTTCCCACGAGCAGAAATCACTCACATTTTTTTGAATTCCTAGATGACAACATAAGGTCATAGTTAGTCACATTTTGGTACTTTACACGATCGGTGAAACACCATAACGTAGCCGTTACCGTTAAAATGTTAGTACTTGGTAAAGAGATTCCATGAATAGAGACATTAAACACTACGGCTGGGCAGTGGTAACATTATCAATTCAAATGCGACGCTATTGCGTTGAACGCTAAGAATGTGTAATATCAACGCACTCGAAAACTACGGAATACCCATATTGATGCAATGAAGCAACGCCATTTGGATTCCAGATCGGAATCGAACGCTTGACCGTGGATTTGACCCGCTTAGAATGTGATTGGAATATTCAAAGGGAATTAACGAAGCCACACGCATGTCACAATAGTTAATAAAAACCTTTTTATAGTAAAGCTTTTTCATCGCGAACTAGCTAATACTTGACTGTTGATGGTAACTAGTTCAGTGAAAGTCTATTCACTTTTGCCTTGAAAGCACCCACATTGTAATCAAAGAGAAGGACACACACATGCAATAAGAGATAATACGACACTTTATACTGTTAAATCATATAAAATTAGTTATTTCTCAGACAATATTCATCTAATCTGTTATGGAATCAGGTTGTCAGAATAGAATGCAATAGCAGACTGTGTTACCCCAAAGAAGTTATTATCTATGTACTACCGCGTATCTCCGATTCAAGTTTAGCTAATAATAATTTTGTTAATATATTTAACTTGTGTTTGACTACTATCTCATCTGGTGATGAACGGAGATGGAGCCCTAGATACAAAGCCAACTAAATCCTATTCAATGTAGCATTGAGGACACGTACAGTATAGTTGATTAAATAGCCGTTTTGGATTCCAAATTGAACAAAACCTATTTCGCCATTATGAAGTACCCATGTAAAGACGGCTTATGATATTTGCGTTTCGTGGAATTTATATGATTCACGTATACTCATGGTAACATTTGGATAATGTGATATTTGCACAAAATAAATACAAGTCCTAAAATTTCCACTTCACCTCGGGACTGCCCTATAAATGCCATGTTTTTGATATGTCTGATATACCAGCGGATGTTGATGAGCTCATTATGAACGGAGTAAAAAATTTATCCCTTTTTTGTTTCTTAACAAGCAGTAGTATATCACATGTTTGTAAATAAAAAAATCAAGTCATCTACTGATTTATAAAAACAGTAGATGTCTTACTAGTCCTTACGACTACAAAATCGAAGAGTTAACTAAATCAAGAACGTTGTAATAACTTCAGTTTCGATGAACTATTAAAAAAACATGGTCTAAATTTAATGAAAAAAAAAAGAACCATGT